AAAAGTTTGGATTGGGTCTTTTTTGAAAATTTCTTCATACTTTTTACAGTAATTTAGTAGAGAAAGTGGCTATGAGTTGAGAATTTAAATGGGTTTGTATGAGAATTAATATGTTAATGATGGGTTATAAAAGTATAATTTAATTCATAATATTATTTGCACGTTCTAAATAGTGAATTTTTTTTATCGCTTCATTTATACACTACAAAGATGATTTTTCATATTATCAATATTATCATATTATTGATTTGGATTGTAAAGAAATAGATTTTTAATATCCAAAATTCTAAAAAGTTACCATGTGGCAACTACAGGACCTCACTTTCGTGTATAGATAGATTTCATCTATCGAAAATATCTATTAAAATTTCATCTAGAGTAAAAGAGCTTTGGAGACTTATCTGTCAAAATCAAATTCCAATAAGTATTAGGCTTAGTTTGGATACCATGATGTTTTCTTTGTTTCCATGGTGTCTTTGCCAAAAGCAAAACACAATGTGTTTGGAAACCATAGTGTTTTTTGAGCTAAATCATCCTCAAACTAAAAACACAACATTTATTTCAAAACATCTTTTAGGTGTTTTAAGTTTGGTGTTTTGGTTTTGAGTTTGAGGTGTTAATATGATATCTAACATAATATATTAAATATAATTAATATATAGTTATTATCGACATGCTTATTATATTATATATATTATATTATACTATACTATATTGTAGTTAATCTAATATATTAGTAATATTTATTAAATAATATAAAAATATAATAATAAAATGTCTTATATAATAATATAATAACATATTAAATACTAGTATTTAATATGTTGATAAGGTAGTATATAATAATTGATAATAATAAAATATAAATAAACTAATAAAAATAATAAAAAAGTTATTAATATATAAATATTTATAATCACTATAATATTATTAACTTTTTAATAAATAAATTCTAATAAATTAAGAGTATAAAATATTATATAATAGTAACATGTTTATAATAAAATAATAATATTAAATATAATATTGTATACTAAATGTACTATAATATATAAAATATTAATATATTATATAATAAATAATATAATATATTATAAGAAAATAATTTTAGTACTAAAAATTATGCTAATAAATGTTAATAAAAAATAATATATTCATAATATAATATTTATTCATATGATAAATCGTTAATATATTATTAAAGTATAATTAATAAACTCTAACATATTGAAACTATAATATATTATATAATATTAAAATATTTCTAATATATTAATTTTTCATGATATACTAGTAATAACATAATATTAACATTATTAATAATATTATATTATATTAATAATAATATAATATTATATTAATAATAATATAATATTATATTAGTAATAAAATAATATTATTTTTAAAAATGTTATATAATATATAATAATAATAAATTGATATAATTTAATATATTATTATTTTAAAATAATATGTAATAATAATTGTTATGGTGTTTCACTCACCAAAGCATAGCCCTCTGCTAGCAATTAACAGACATGTGTACTTCTGCATGTAATGTCCCAATCAAAGTAGCAACCAAGACCAGCAAAGATCCCGACTTAGCCAACTCCCTTAGTCGACATCTTCTTGTGTCTACTCGAAATGCGTTACTTCTCGGTCAAGCTAAAGGACTTCGACCTCAACCTTCCCCTACTAACAACGTCGATATCGCATTTAATGCTTGGGAGGTGCCATTATGCCTCTAGCCCCGATAGTCTTCATGACTCACCGGGCCACATCGGCACCGCTATGCCTCCGATCGCTTCTCATTTAATGTTGAGGTGATCTCTCCTCCAGTCGTCAGCCGACACCTGTAAAGCAAGTGCTGACGCAGCTGCCAGTCCATGATTCTTCACCGCCATCTTGTGCTCGCCCATAATGACGGTGCTGCCCTTATACCCCCGGCATAAATAGAGGTAATATTCCAACATAGATCGGATCTTCTGGATCTAATCTCTGATCTAGGTGATGCTAAGCAATTCAACTATACTACATAACTCACACAGTTCTTCTTTTCCCCACTCAAGCTCACCAGCTGAATTGATCGTCGGAGGAACCACAGGGGAACCAGTCCTCGTCCTCTCACGAGTTTCTACTTGTGCAGGCTCAAGCTACTAAGCTAAGAACCTGATATTCGGGGAAGGAAGCGGTCTCTCATCAATCTCAACCCATCCAACTGATATAATTGACTGTGTGATCACTTAACATCAACAATAATAATATAATATAACACATTAAAGTATAATATAACATTATAATACATTATACAATATTATGTTGTATTATATTTAATATTTATACTACTATAATAGTGTAAACTAAATATTATAACATTCTTTTTATAATATATTTTATTATAATTAATATATAGTACATTAATAATATATTTAATACTAATATTGTAGTAGGTTAAACTAGTGTTGATAAAAAATACTCAACATTGTGTTTTAAAAATATTTTAAGGAAAAAAATACAATTCGACAATGTTTTTTTTTTTATAAAAACACAACAAAAAAAAATAACCTTGGTATTCATAGGAAGCCTAGGGTATTCGAAAGCGTGCAATTGAATATGGAGATGATAAGGATTGTGATATAACAAAGACTTGAGACGAAGATGTTAGATCGTGATTACGACGTGCCGTCCTCCACTTGTCGTGTCTGAATGTGCGCACATGGGAAGAAGTATCCTAAAGTACAGAATAGGAATATATTTCATGTTTAAAAAATCGTCACTCAAATCATTAAACTTACTACTAGGTCCTTAAGTCTTAAATTGATTTATAATTAGTCCGTCAAATCATAGAAATTGCTATTAAGCTCTTTTATTTTAAGTTATTATGAAATTAGTCACTCGTATCGAGAGCAAAAATAGTAATTGGATGGATTTAATGGGCTTATTGCACTTAAGTACCATGTAGTTTTTCCTACTTTACACTTGTATACATTCACCGTAAATTTTTTAAAATTTGCACTTAAATACGATCGATTATATAAACACGAGAATTTCTCCAGTAAGTTCTCACAAGATACTCACATGTTAGTGTTAATACATTTTAACTCTTAATATTTGTTAAGTCTATCGTTAAACCTATAAACTCCTATTTTAAAAATATAATTATAGCAATTTAAAATATAAAATATATGGACCAGCCTTCATTAGCTTTAAACTACCAAATATCTAAATATGTCTTGAATCATTATGTCAAACCAACTTAAGAGAGAGATACTTTTCATATTTATCTATATGTATATTTTTGTAGTATTCTTCAACTTCTAAGCAATAGATCATTGGTAATATTCCCTAAATAATAACACGATAGTTCCATTAAGGTATTGGAAGTGGAAGTATTTAAGGAAGTAAACAAGATAAAGAGGCCCTGAAAATTTTCCTTTTTGAGTTATTTGACTAAAATTAATGACACTTGCACAAGTTGGGGATTATATTTCCAAGGACTTTTTATCAGGGCCGCTAAGGCCTTGCTAAATTACTGATAAAAGAATACAATTAGGTATGAGAAATGCCTTAATACAATTAGCCATGACTAAAGTTTTCTTAACAGTGTGAGATGTTTTAGATTTTACAAACCCCTCTTAGCTTTGGAGATTCAACACGATATCGTTTGGATATAAATTAGAGAGAACCCCTGATACATTGAAAATTGCTAAACGCTGCTGAGCTATTAAAAGTTTTTTTAGGGGGTGTTTGGTTACATTTCTATAAATTATAGGAAATGTTTTTCATCCAAAATTTGATTTCCTTGTATTTCTTAAAAAAATTATAGGAAAAGTTTTGAGAAATTAAAAAGTACAAATTTTCTTATTTTTTGTATTGTGCTTGTTTGGTTAAAAACAAGAAAATTACTTATAACTTTTGGGAAAATAGCAATATTTCCTATAATTTATAGAAATGTAACCAAACACCCCCAACTTTATAGAAAAGTAAGAACTTTATAGAAAAGTGTTAATGAATTTTATTATTTAAATAATGAATGCGTCAGATTTCCAAAAAATTTCGGCCCATTTTAGAAGGAAATCAATTTCTATAAATTTTGGTACTTTTCTATACTTTACAGAAAACATTTCTGTAAATCTTTTTTGAGCCAAACAAAGTTTATGGAAATCTATAGAAAACTCTTAATTATAGAAATGCCATTGTTTGTACTTTTTGAGAAAACATTTCTCAAAAACAATACAACCAAACACCCCCTTAAAGTAAATCAATCACCCCTTAGATAAGGCCTATTTACATTATCATCCTTAATTATTTGAGTTTTAAGATGCTGTCCTTTAAGTGCCATTCCCATCAACATGTAATCATCTATATCCACTTCCCTTCAATATTCCGAAAAAAAGTGTTATTTGACAAATTTGCCCATGCACGTGCTGTGCCCGTAGCATTGTCATGCCTGTTTTGCTTACAACATATATAGATAAATATTTCAAACAACACTCTTTTAGATAGAAAAATAGATAGAAGTGGATATAGGTAGCTATATTAACGGAATGACCCAGAAGTGTGATAGTTGTAAACTCCGATAACTAAGCATGGTAATGTGAAAATATAACTAATTTAGAGGTGGTTCCCTGTAAAAAAGAACACTTATTAGAAAAATGTCATGTCAACTTAGAAATTAGCCATATTTAGGAAAAATGATACACGCAAATCCTCCGGCATACCTCTGGCCACACACCCCTAGCTACAGTGCAAAAAGCCCCACCTGAGATTTTAAAAAAATCTCAAGTGGGGCCCTCTTACTGTAGTTAGAAGGTGTGGCCGGAGTTACGTCCGAGATTGTGCCTGTAACACCTCGCCATATTTAGAAAAATAATAACAGTTTTAACAGAATATAGTACGGAGAATATAAAAATAAATTAGCAAATGTTGAGATTTAAAATGATAGATACACAAATTCAATAAAACCCATTTTAACCACTAATTTTCATCCCAACCCAACGTAAGAGCGGGGAGCACGAATCCAGCAAATTTATGCTCATCATCGGATGACGCTGTTTCAAACCCGTGGCCTCAGTCTTGGCGGCATCAGAGGGGGGAAATTGTCACGTCAAAACCCTCAAAAGAATTTTTTTTATTATTTTTTACTGGGCTGTTCTCCTCCATTTCTCTCTAATTTCCCTTTTCCTATTGAGAATTCTTTGCAAGTGTTAGGTTTTTGCCTTCCAGATCCACCCAAGTTCTTAGCTATGCTCTCAAATTCCTTTATTGGATTCTGTTGTTGGGTTTAGCTTGTTGACCTGTTGATCTTGCGAAAGACCTTTCATTTTCTCCAATTTTATCAAAATTTGTGAGTACCCAGTTGGAGATTTTGCTATTATTCTGCATATTTATCATTGGGTTCGACTGGGTTGGACTCAGATTGATCCAATTTGTTGAGTTTGTTCTATTTTTCTTCGTGGTTCGCAGTTTCAAGAAATGGGCAAGAAGGGTATTTGATGTGAATTGAGTCCGATGAAGGATTTTGGTCTTTGTGGGCGAATGCCCTCATGGTCTTTTATTGCAACTGTTGGCTCTTTAGTGGCATTAGTATCAATTGTTCATTTGTTCTTCACACCTCTACTTCCGTCGTCGCTTGATTACTTTGGGGCAGGGAGAGCACAGAGTTCGTGTTCTCCAGTTAATTCGTCTGCTGGATTGAAGAGTGAACATTTGTATGATAATTCAGAGCTGGGTATTGATTTTGATAAACAATTCCCTGTCGATTCTCACGGGGCAGTGACTTATCGTGGTGCGCCGTGGAAGGCTGAGATTGGAAAGTGGTTTTCTGGCTGCGGTGATGTTTTGAATGCTGTTGATGTTGTTGAGGTGTGTGTTGGGTGAATAATTTTGTTTCTAAATTTTAGTTGTTTTAAGTTGCAGGTTAAGGTTTATGCACAGTTATGACCATGTGTAAATTTACTTGATGAATTGCGGTTGAGCTTTTGATATAAAGTTATATGTATTGGCAGAATATAGGGAGCAAAAGGTGCAAGAGTGACTGTAGCAGCCAAGGAATATGCAATCAGGAATTGGGGCAATGCAGGTGTTTTCATGGGTTTTCTGGTTAGTATTCCGCATTCTCCATTTGATTTATACAAGTAGATAGTAGAAGGTTATGAAACAAATAAAACCTTCTATGCCATTTTGCTTGATCACTGAAAGTTGTTAAGATAGTACATACCCTGATTTTGATACACTAATAAACTTCTGTGTGGTTCGGTTAGAATCCATGAATGAGCAAAATCTTATCTATTTGCCATGTGTATGTTGTTTCCACGATTGTGATCCTTAATAGATTTTAATTTAATTTTTGGGGAAGCTATGTAAACCAAACCTTCACTGACTTTAATGTGATATTATGTGCATCATGATTTCTTTCCCCTACAAAGGGCATCATAAGTAAAAAATCTTGCTTTCTGTGGATAATTTCATTTGTTTTCTCCTTACGCCAAGCAGATTTATGATTGTATGTTACAAGTTGTGAATGATTTTAAAGCGATATCATTAATGATGTCTTTGATGGGAACGGGGGTCCATCCCCATGATGAATTAATATGGATTTATTCCATAAAAATTTTGTGGTTGACTACATGCATGCATTGATAGATTGTCTTTCCCCATGCATTGGGAAAAAGAAATGCTAGTTTTTGGACTTCCCCATGCAATGAATGTGGTATACCCAAGAGGCATGTCCTCCCGATAAATAGAGGGGAGATGGTGAAGGTTGACAATAAGAAGCAAGAAGAAGAACCACATACAAATCTGTAATCCTCAAGTGAGTTTGAGAGAAAGTTGTAATCCCCAAGTGAGTTTGAGAGAAATTGATCCTCAAGTTAAGTTATACCAATTTGAGAGAAGACCATTTGTAAGCTTTTATTTGATTATAGTAGAAACGGTGAAGAAGGGGCGGGTGAGGACGTAAGCTCATTTGAGCTGAACCTCGGTAAATCTTGTGTGTGCAATCTCTCTATTTCTCTTTGTATTTTTCTATTTTTTCTCTTCTATTTTTGTTCTTATCTCATCACAAAGACGGGAAATGTCTTGTTGTACTGTTAATTTTTCAACAGTAGTATCAAAGCAATGTTGCTAATCTTCTTGTGTTGAGATGGAGACTCCCGTCGGTGGCGTTCGAATGATCAGTTTGAATAGCCGCAATTGGATGATATGAAAGGCAAATATGATGGATCTTCTATATTGCAAGGACTTCTATGCGCCGGTTGAAGGTGAATCCTCCAAGCCAGAGTTCATAACGGCGGATGATTGGAAAAAGCTCGATCGGAAAACTATCGGCATCATTCGGCAACGGGTGGATGACACTGTATTCCACCATGTGTCAAATGAGACTTCGGCGAACAACTGTGAAAGAAACTTGAAGATCTCTACGAAAGAAAGACCACATGCAACAAAGCTTTCTTGATTCGAAAGCTTGTCAATCTCAAGTTCAAGAAATATGATTCTATATCTGAACATTTGAATAAAATTCAAAGTATTGCAAATCAATTTGCAGCCATGAAGATAGCGTTGGAAGATGAGCTTCAAGCCATACTTTTGCTTAGCTCGTTACGAGATAGTTGGGAGACGCTGGTGGTGTCTCTTAGCAACTCTGCACCTGATAAAGTTATATCCATGAACCAAGTTACAAGCAGCCTCTTCAATGAATAAATACGAAGAAAGTCATTTGGATTCTCCCATTCTCATGCTCTTGTTACCGAGAACAGGGGGAGGAACAAATATTGATAGCCTCAGAATCAAGACAAGTCAAGAGGAAAATCAAAGGCTAGAAAGGATATTAGTTGCTATCACTGCGGGAAGAATGGACACATAAAATGAGAATGTCACAAACTCAAGCGAGAACAAAAGGAAGGAAAGACCAATGAAAAATAAGAAATGAACGAAAGTGCAGTTGTTGTCAGTGACAATAAAATTGTGCTTTTCTCGGCATATGAAGAAGACTGCAAATCTCACCTGCCAAGACTCAGAATGGGTGATTGATTCTGGTACCTTCTACCATGCTACTCCCAGGAAAGACTACTTCACTTCGTTTCGTGAAGGTAATCTTGGAATGGTAAAAATGGGTAACAAAAACTCTTCTCAAATTCTTGGCATTAAAAATATTTGTGTTACTACTAACATTGGAACAAAGATGGTTTTAAAAGATGTTAGATTTGTGCACGATCTTCGTCTCAATCTTCTCTCCACCGGCAAGCTTGATGAAGAAGGATACACAAGCAACTTTGGTAAATGATGTTGGAAGCTTACCGAAGGATCACTTGTATTAGCGAGAAGAAAGAAGTGTTGCACTCTCTATAAGACCCAGTTTCACTTGGAGAATGATGAATTTGGAACAGTAGAAGGTACCTCTATGGATTTGTGGCACAAACGGCTTGGTCACATGAGCGAGAAAGGGCTACAAACTCTCGCAAGGCGATAACTACTTCCATCCATGCAAGGTACAACACTATCCCACTGTGATCACTACTTGACTGGGAAATAACATCGGGTAGCTTTTGTTAAAAAATATAACAAAAAGAAAACTGACATATTAGACTTAGTCTATTCGGATGTATACGGACCCATAAATAAAAAAAACTTTTAGTGGTGCTTCATACTTTGTGATCTTCATAGATGATGCATCTAGAAAGGTGTGAGTGTATGTCATAAAAACTAAAGATCAAGTGTTTGAAGTTTTCAAAGACTTTCATACCAAAGTTAAAAGAGAAACCAGAAAGCTCTTGAAGTATATTCACATTGATAATGATGGTGAGTATACTTTAAGGATGTTTGAAGACTATTGTTCTTTTTATGGCATTAGACATCAAAAGACTATTCCACACACATCGCAACACAATGAGATTGCAGAAAAGATAAACCGCACAATTGTGAAAATGATAAGGAGTATGCTATCCTTAGCTAAATTACCAAAAATATTTTGGGAGAAGCAGTGCGAACAGCCTGCTAGTTGATAAACATGTCCCTTTCAGTTCCCTTAGATAAGGATATTTCATATTCTCACTTGCGAGTGTTCGGGTGCAAGGTATTTGTACATGTACCTAAGGAAAAAAGAACAAAGCTTGATGATAAAGCTATTTCATGCATCTTCCTAGGATATGAAAATATGATAAATTTGGGTATAGGTTGTGGGATCCTAAAAATAAAAAAATTATGAGGAGCAAAGATGTTGTTTTTTGTGAAGATAAAACACTTGCTGATTTTGAAAAAGAAGAGGAGTCACAAAACACTTATGTCATCCCATATCCAATCTCTACACCAGTTGTTTTTCCTTCTCTCATGTTAAAAAATAATGATTTTTAAGATGTGCAGGAAGAAGAAGAAATTGCAGGTTCTCTAGGTTTTGATCAGGGGGAGCATGAACATCCAGAGCCGCCATATATGGATCAGCCACAAGTGTCTCAGTTGAGACGATCGGAGAGAGAACGACAACCCTCAACTAAATATCCAGCTTCAGAGTATACTATGGTAACAGATGCAGGTGAACCGGAAAGTTTCTATGAAGCGCAAGTTCATGATGATCGTGTAAAGTGGAAGAAAGCTATGCAAGAGGAGATGGATTCTTTGCATAAGAATCACACTTATGACTTGGTGGAGCTACCTTGAAGAACAAATGAGTGTTCAAAATCAAGAATGAAGGAAATGACCAAGTCAAGTACAAAGCTCGGCACGTGGTGAAAGGTTTTAGTCAGAAACAAGGTGTTGACTATGAAATTTTTTTTCCTGTTGTAAAGATGTCTTCTATTCGGGTTATTCTTGGTCTTGTTGCTTCTCAAGACCTTGAAGTTGAACAGTTAGATGTGAAGACAACATTCCTCCATGGTGATTTGGCAGAAAAAATCTATATGAAGCAGCCAGAGGGTTTCAAGGTAAAGGGCAAAGAACACTTGGTTTGCAACTTGAAGAAGAGCTTGTACGGACTCAAGCATGCATCTCGACAATGGTATAAAAGGTTTGATTCTTTTATGCTTGACCATGGGTACAAAAGAACATCTGCAGATCATGTATAAAAGGTTTGATTCTTTTATGCTTGACCATGGGTACAAAAGAACATCTGCAGATCATTGTGTTTATGTCCAAAAGATTCTTTTATGCTTGACCATGGGTACAAAAGAACATCTGCAGATCATTGTGTTTATGTCCAAAAGTTCTTGGATGATGATTTTATTATTCTCTCTCTCTATATTGTTGATGATATGCTTGTTGTTGGAAAAGATAGGTCTAAAATTGATAGGTTGAAAAAAAGCTGAGCAAGTCTTTTGACATGAAGGACTTAGGAGCAGCACAACATATATTGGGAATGAAGATTTCTAGAGACAGAAGTGCGAGAAAGTTATGGTTATCACAAGAAAGATACATTGAATGTGTTCTGGGGAGGTTTAATATGTTAAACTCTAAGCCAGTCAGCACACCGTTAGCAGCTCATGTTGAGCTAAGTACACAACAAAGCCCTTCAAGTGAGAAGGAGAAGGAGGAGATGAAGAGCATTCCATTTGCCTCAGCCATCGGAAATTTGATGTACTCCATGGTTTGTACAAGACCCGACATAGCATATGCAGTTAGAGTAGTAAGTCATTATCTTGCCAATCCTGGTAAAGAACATTGGGAAACAGTAAAGTGAATCCTAAGATATCTTAGAGGAACCTCTAAATATTCTTTATGTTTTGGAGATGGAAAACCTATCTTGGAAGGTTACACTGATTTTGATATGACAGGTGATTTGGACAAAAGAAAGTCCACATCAGAATACTTATTTACCTTTGCAGGGAGAGCCGTATCATGGCAATCAAAGCTGCAAAAGTGTATCGCTCTATCCACCACAGAAGTTAAGTATATCGCTGCTACAGAAGCCATCAAGGAGCGATGAAGAATTTTCTGAAGGAGCTATCTCTCAAGCAAGAGAAGTACACTCTATACTGTGATAGTCAGAGCGTCATCGACTTGAGTAAAAATGCTACCTATCACTCAAGGACAAAACAAATCGACGTACGCTTTCATTGGATCTGTGATGCTTTGGAGAATCGTCTTATGCACATTAAGAAGATTGATACAAGCCAAAATCCGTCTGACATGATGACGAAGCCTCTATCAAAAGAGAAACATGACTTCTGTCAAATAAAGGCAGGTATGACTACTGTTTGAAAACTTTCTTCTCATGAGGATGGAGGGGGAGATTGATGAGAACGGGAGTCCATCCCCATGATGAATTAATATGGATTTATTCCATAGAAATTTTATGGTTGATTACATACATGCATTGATAGATTGTCTTTCTCCATGCACTGGGAAAATAAAGGGCTAGTTTTTGGACTTCCCCATACAATGAATGTGGTGTACCCAAGAAGCATATTCTCCCTATAAATAGAAGAGAGATGGTGAATGTTAACAACAAGAAGCAAGAAGAAGAACCACATACAAATCTGTAATCCTCAAGTGAGTTTGAGAGAAAATTATAATCCCCAAGTGAGTTTGAGAGAAAGTGATCCTGAAGTTAAGTTATACCAACTTGAGAGAAGACTCTTTGTAAGTTTTCATTTGATTATAGTGAAAATGGTGAAGAAGGGGCGGGTGAGGACGTAGACTCAATTTGAGCTGAACCTCGGTAAATCTTGTGTGTACAATCTCTCTATTTCTCTTTGTATTTCTCTATTTTTTCTCTTCTATTTTTGTTCTCATCTCATCACAAAGACGGGAAAGGTCTTGTTGTACTGTTAATTTCCCAATAGTCTTCACCGTAAAACATAGTATGATAAATTATATGCATGCAAATAACCAGTCATAGTCTTCACCGTAAAACATAGTATGATAAATTATATGCATGCAAATAACCAGTCATTGATTTAGAAAACATTACTATCAAGAAATGGTAATTAATCCTATGCTCTCTTGTTTAATAGGGGAAGGATGTGCGGAGAAGTTGCAGCTTAACTGCAATCTTCCATCATCCCCTGAACAGCCATATGGACCTTGGATTGTTTCAATATGTGCAGCCCATTGTGATACGACAAGAGCAATGTGTTTCTGTGGAGAAGGGACCAAATATCCAAATCGACCGGTGGCCGAGGCATGTGGCTTTAAGACTATGTAAGAAAACAACTATTTGCCTCACTAATTATAATTTGGCTGTTTTTGTATGTATACCCCTAAAAAACGACCCCCCAAAATCATCTACTTTGGGGAGAAAAACCCCAAATCAACAAATCATCAACTTTGATAAGCTAATTTTAAGTGCAATGTAAAAACATCAACAAAACAGTCAAATATTTACTCAATAAATCCAACAAAATTGATGAATTGTTGATTTGGGGAACATTGTTTTACAATGTTGACTATTTAGGGGTAGTTTTGCAAATATTGAGACTTGGGGTAGCTTTGCAAACATGCATGATTAAGAGGTATATATGCATTATGAAAAAAGCCCTTATAATTTCATCAAAAATAATAAGTTCATATTCCTCGTATTCACGTGATAGAAAAGTTATATCTTAAAACATTAATTTATTTCAGCTTGCCAACTGAACCTGGTGGTCCAAAGCTTACTAATTGGACACAAGCTGATCTTGATAATATCTTCACAACTAACGCGAGCAAACCCGGCTGGTGTAATGTGGACCCAAAAGATGCATATGCTTCAAAAGTGAAATTCAAAGAGGAGTGTGATTGTAAGTATGATTGTCTTTGGGGACAATTCTGTGAAATTCCAACAGTATGCAGTTGTCTCAACCAATGCTCCGGACATGGACATTGTCGGGGTGGATTTTGTCAGGTATACAATAAAATCTTTGTGATTAGACTGTTTGCAACAAACTATCCTGTAATAGAACTTCTAATTGTTGTATAAATTGGCTGGTCATTGTCTTGTCAGTTTACTTGAATTATACTGATGGTTCTTTAACAGTGTGACAGTGGTTGGTATGGGATAGATTGTAGTATACCATCTACATTATCAGCTATACAAGAATGGCCTAAGTGGCTTCGACCATCTACAGTTGGTATATCTGACAAAGCCCCTTTAGGTAGTGATATGAGTACGAAAGCTGTTGTCAAGAAGAAAAGGCCTCTTATTTATGTTTATGATTTGCCACCTGAATTTAACAGCCATCTTCTTGAGGTACGCATAAGGGTCTGTCGACCATTTACTTTTATAAGCATAGTGCTTCAGATTACTGAATATCACATCCCTTTTTGGTGACAGGGAAGGCATTTCAAATTTGAATGTGTAAACAGAATCTATAGTGATAAGAACAGGACAATATGGACTGATCAGTTGTATGGCGCACAGGTAATTTTATTAAGATTTTCTGTTTTTTCCCCTGAAAGAACATTATATCAAATTATCAATAAGTTGTTCTTTTACTGTTCTTGCATTTTCATTTTGTAGATGGCACTCTATGAGAGTATTCTTGCTAGTCCCTATCGGACGTTGAATGGTGACGAGGCAGACTATTTCTACATCCCGATTCTTGATTCGTGTATAATAACTAGAGCAGAGGATGCACCCCACTTCAGTATGATGGTACAGAAGTGATAACATGACATTTTTACTGCTCGATCCTCATAGTTCTATTCAAGATCACTCTTTTTTTATATCAATTACAAGAAACATAAAGTTAACGGGAAAGGAAGTTTCTAAGAGAACTGCTCTAATTCCAGGAACATGGGGCTCTCAGGAGCTTTATGACTTTGGACTTATACAAGGAGGTTTATGATCATATAGTTGAGCAGTATCCATACTGGAATCGCTCCTCCGGAAGAGATCATATTTGGGTATGATATATAGATAAGATATTTTTATAATTTGCATTGGGATAAAAAATGCTGATCTTTTTTAGACAGTTCTTTTCGTGGGATGAAGGTGCCTGCTATGCTCCAAAGGAAATTTGGAATAGCATGATGTTGGTTCACTGGGGAAACACAAACTCAAAACATAATCACTCAACAACAGCTTATTGGGCAGACAATTGGGACAAAATTCCCTCCCATAGAAGAGGAGATCATCCATGCTTTGACCCAGACAAAGACCTTGTGCTACCCGCATGGAAAAGGCCTGACCCTGGTGCAATATGGTTAAAGCTGTGGTCAAGGTACCTTGGCAGAACATTGTACTTATTTACCTATTACTCATAAGCTGTGTTTACACTCAGGAATTAACATTTTTGTAGGCCACGAAAGGAGCGAACAACACTCTTCTACTTCAATGGAAATTTAGGGCCTGCATATGCTAATGGTCGACCTGAAGATACGTATGTATCATTCTTCTTTACTAATCACATAAGTTTCATTTGCTTGTCTTCGTTTTCATATAACCTTTTTGTCTCTCCAAACAAAATACAGGTATAGTATGGGTATTAGGCAGAAACTGGCAAAGGAGTTCGGTTCTACTCCTGACAAGAAGGGAAAGCTAGGGAGACAGCATAGAGACAATGTAACAGTCACTCCACAACGCACTCATAAGTATTATGAAGAACTTTCTCGCTCTGTCTTTTGTGGGGTTTTACCTGGAGACGGATGGAGCGGGCGTATGGAGGATAGCATTCTACAAGGATGCATTCCGGTGGTAATTCAGGTACAAAAGCTTTTCTTCCTTTTTGCTGATACCAACTTGTGTACTTCATAAGTTCATATGCTGATAGTGATGTCTAGATTCTGGTTATGTAATGATTTCTAATTTGTCATATGTTTTCAACTCTAAAGCAGGTATTTTTGAATCTTATCAATCTGATTTTCTGTGATTCAAAGGTGTATAGATTGAGAATTATATCTGTGATGCCAGAATATATTTCTAGGATTGGGCTGACTTGCTACTACTCCTATGCATAATTGTCGGCAATATGAATTGCAGATTGACTTGAAGAATGCAAAGACATTGGATACTCTTATTGCATGTTTGGATGTGTTGATGATTTGATGTCTTTTACACTTATTAGCAATCACCTTGTTTTTACCTCTAGGTCATTTTTCCAATGGTCATAATGAGAACACATAACCCACAAACAAAACACACAGGATACTTCTTTTTACCTTGTTTAAAGAGCAAAGTATGGTCCGATTTCTTCAACATTCAGTAAAGCAGAAAACCGAAGGTTTGAGACTTCTCACAGAACTATGTCCCACTTTGAACTAGTATTGGTGAAAAGGTGACTAATGAAGCTTCAAAATTTCCGCGACTTGGTGCAACAATTTACTTTTGGGAAAGCTTAACAGAGAATCAAGGTTCACACATTCCAGCAATGCCCAAACATGCACACACGAATATCAGTTTGGCTTGCTTTTCACTTTATATCGTTAAGTGAACAAACACAGGTACTGAGTCTACCATAAGGCCATAAATTTTCCATGTAGTCTTGATGTTTTGAAATCTTGGATAAAGCTTAGCAGATGTTATGAGAAGTTCCAAAAATCTGGCCTTAGTGGATTTATGACATGTTATGGAGAAAATACAGCTGGATTGTGATCGTTGTTTCTCTTTTTATATACAATATGTGCAGTAATTACTAAAATCGCGTTCATGAATGGGTGAAAACTAAAGGCAGAACTTGCTGCTTAACTAGATCACAGAAATGGTTCGTAAAAAGGTAATGATGAAGATGAGAATAAATGGTAAAGAAGGCAGAACTTGCTTAACTAGATCACAGAATTGGTGAAAAACCTATGCCAGAACTTGCTTAACTAGATCACAGAATTGGTTCGTAAAAAGGTAACGATAAAGATGAGAATAAATGGTAAAGAAGAAAAAGGTTTCTGAAGAAGGGATATCAGAAAAGATGAAAATATTTATTCCAGTACTTGAAACTTTTTGTGATTGTTCTTAGGTTTAGCTAATATTCTAACTAATATGGAACAGTATAATATGTGCCTTGAAGTAAAAATAAATTCAAATTAGTACTAGATCGCCCCTCTTAAGCTGATTAACTTCAACTACATATTTAAAGTTACCTCATACTAATCAGCTTATATATGAATCAGATTCTAATTTCAACAAAGCAGAAGTAGATCTTAAGTATAACCGAGGCCTCTCTGTTATGCTTGTGTTGGGTATTCATGCTTAGTCTTTGTATTACGATTTAAAAGCATTTCTGAGTGTTTCTGTCCATGAGTTTCGACATCACTTTTTCTTCTTGGGTTCCAGGATGGAATTTTCTTGCCATACGAGAATGTGCTGAACTACAGAAGTTTTGCAGTTCGAATTACTGAAGATGAGATTCCAAACTTGATCAATATCCTTCAGGCAAATATTTATCGCATATCACCTTTACTGCTAAATAGTGAATGATCATGTTAATTTTGTAGGCTATCTATGATGCTATAGCTATATATATTGGTGCATGCAGGGGTTTGATGAGACAGAAATTGAGTCCATGTTGGCAAATGTTCGCCAAATCTGGCAGAGATTTTTATACCGAGACTCAGTTTTGCTTGAGGCTAAGAGACAAAAGAAATTGTTTGCTGATGAGGAAGCTTGGGTAGTCGAATTCTCAAAGCTTGAACTTGATGAGGATGATGTTTTTTCGACATTTGTACAGGTACATGCATTATTTCTTTTGATAGGGCACTAAACCTTATATTTTCATGAAGAACTTTTAAGTCCATTCTCTTTCAGAAATTTCAGTTTATGGGAAATTCCAGAAACTCATGATTGGTAGCATCCATGGACAAAAGATATTTGATAGTCTCACAGATTAGAGTTTGGTTAGTTGTTTCCTACGTTAGAGAGTAACTAGAATTTCAAATGAATTTAGATCAGAGAGTGAACTTCACAAAATATGTGCAAAGACCTCGAAGCTTCGGTGTGGACTAGTAACATATAGAATATTTATTGTCCCCATGGAGAAGACGATAAGATCATTTCCGACTTACAATATATCTGTAATGTTAAAAGATCAAGGCGCATTGCCATAGAAGTTGAACTTTTTAGATGCATAACAGTTACTGTTTCTTAGGTCATATCAATGAACTTAGATATATGAATTTTGAATTTCCATATAATCTAATGGTTAAAACATGGCATGTGATTTATGAAATAGAGGCCGACAAGTGTGCCTGTTAAGAGTAATATGATCACAGTTAGAAGAGCAAAAGGATCAAAGGTAGGCATAAATGAACATGGATGAAGGCAATCGAATAATACGTGATGGTAATTGTTAACAGGAAAATGCATTATCTGCTAATGGATCTGAATGAAAGTGGGCGTAAATGAACATGGATGAAGACAATCAAATAATATGTGATGTTTATTAATATCAGGAAAATGTGTTAGCCTCTAATGATCTGAATAAAAAAAATATTTGTTTAGTCAACCCCAAATTTTGGATAAAATATTTTTTGTTGTTTTCATGCCCAATAGGGTCCGGGCAACCAGCTGAAGTCTTCTGAACGCCATAATATTGTAGATACTTCCAAGTTCCAAATTAGCCCGTGTGATTAATGAACTTTCAATCAAAGTGATTTTGAACTGAACCATGCAGCACAATTTGCCCAATCTTTGAAAGCTACCGACATAATTAAGTCATTGAAGCCCTTCTCCTCAGATAATAGCTAACTTTGAATATTAAAAAAAATTGCTAGAGAAAATATACAGGAACAATAATTTTTATAATTCTGGTGATTTATTTTCCCTTCAAATTTCGTTGAACCTTTAGATTTCAGCAGCAAAGTAGTTGACTGGTTAAAAATATCATTTTTTTGCACTATGTGTTTTGGAAGACGAATAAGAAAAATGTAGGTACTAAATATCCGTAACGTTTTACAGTTTTATATTATTCAGAGTGTTCCTCATGCACTTTGCAAGTAGTGCATATTAATCGAATAACCATTTCTTAAAACTAGAATCGATTGATTGGTGCTCAAATTCTCTATTAAGTTAACCTGAGCTTGCTGTCTTTAAATGGCATACAAATATTGTTCAAGAAGGGATGATGGTTTTAAAAAGTGGCTCTGCTATTTTGTGTGCTATTAATGATGTTCTGATTATTTTCTTAGATTTTAATGTGTTTTAATTGGTGCTCAAATTCTCTATTAAGTTAACCTGAGCTTGCTGTCTTTAAATGGCATACAAATATTGTTCAAGAAGGGATGATGGTTTTAAAAAGTGGCTCTGCTATTTTGTGTGCTATTAATGATGTTCTGATTATTTTCTTAGATTTTAATGTGTTTTA